GTCGGCTAATTCTAGTTCTTTCATATTTTCTTGGCAATGTGGTAGTTCCACTAAAAGCTTCTTCTGAATTATTCATGGAAACGACACCCTTCGAGTCTACGGTTAATCCTAATTTATCCTACATATCATGTACATTTACTTCCTCGTTACGCCCTTATAATAATCTCCTTCATAATCCTTCTACCTTGAGTGACACAGACATTGTATTTTTGCGCAGTCATCATTTTTTTTAAACTGGTACCGAAATAAATTCAGAGCAATTATCACTGTCTAAATTAAGATTTCATTTTAAGTCTCTTCCTTATTGCAATTCTACTACTGGTATTAGTTCAAGAAAATACTTGCAATACAAGATGTTCACGTTCTTGACCTAACATGTTTGAACAAATTTTGTCGCCTCTGTAATTATTGCACGGGAAATGGGTATGTGGCCAACAGCAGCTTGTTAGAATTGACTGCAAGCGTTTCTGACATAAAATGATTTTTTTTTTTTTTTTTAATCTGTAGAGAAACAGCCCGTAATGCGAGCTATTGACTGGCCACTTAATTATCTGGGTAAAAGTCTTCGCAGAAACCTGTGTTCGTGACCGAAATTTGTCGGCACATTAGAAGTGAACTCTCCCTTTTTATTTGCGAAACAAACTTCGTTACGAAGAAAATGATGAACTGTTACGTATTATACGTCCCTCTATACGGCAGTCGATGCTGCAGAACGTTCTCGGGCGAAGAAATGCATCCATAGACTACTACCATGGACGGAACACGAGAACTAGGAAGTTAAGGAAAAGGGTGGAAGCAAAGGACACTTGTACTTAAAATCTGAAACTTGGTGTACACGTAATGAAGGCTTGTTAGAATTGAACACCGACAGGGACTTTTGAAAACAAGATAAACAGCTAGTATCGTGTGGTAAATGTATGGCAGAACGGGAATTGGGATCCTATGAAGTGGGGTGAAATCCTCTACTTAAAGTTATAAAGGGATAGGAAGTTTCACCCACGTCCTTAATCGATCCCCTACATAAAAATAAACGCTCGGAAAATGAATACTTCATACTCAATTTCATGAAGACTAAAATTTTATTCCAATCAAATGTAAACCTTCGAGACGCAAATAGAAAGGATCGACAGAAAAAAAAATCACATTGCAAGGAAGGTATTTAATTTTTTACTTATTTCCGAGTGTACCTTGTAACGTGTACATTAGTATAAACATGTCACTCCTTTATTCAAGCGTAATGAGGTACGACAAAATCAATATTTAGAGTTGCTAATAACGTCACTTATTCTAACGAATAGAAATCTTTTCTTCATTCCACCCCCCACAAGCAAGTCAATGACTCAATTAACATGCAAGGAGTTACTGATTAAGACCTTGAAAAAAAAAAAAAAAACTGTATGTAAAATTAAAAACCTGAGTGGATGTTATAAAGCCTGGAGTTTAGCAAGCTAGATAAATTAAAAGAATTTCACATAAGTACTTGAGCAAGTACTAAATAGTTTAATAAAAAGCAGTCTTGATAGGAAATAGACATGTTTTACATAAAGAGCTTAAAAAATCAGATCCCTTCAACATTTGTCTTCTGTCCTTTCAGGAAGTATGGTCATAACTCTAGGTGCCGGTCCCTTGTTCTAAGTCTGACAATTACGTTATTCCCCATAGTACGCTTTTCTTTTTTTTTTTCTAAAAAAAAAAAATGCGTATTATGCACAACTACAAAAATCTTTAAAAACATTGTCGTTTTATAGGTCGATTTCAGTTGCGAAATGACATCATACAATTTAACCTTTAACATTCGGTGATGGCGATCCCATAAGGATGTCAAATACAATCGTATGTACCTAACAATCCTTACAAATATAAAATAAGAATTATCATAAAACTAAACTAGAATAATATTCTATATTTAAAACCTTTTTTTTTTTTTTTTTTCTTAAAAGTAGGAAACGTTGGCCGTAATGAAATTGGAGAGGTAAAATTTATAGGGTTTGATTACCAAACAAGGGGTGCGTATTATATGTGAGTAGAAGCATTTTCCCACATTTTCAGCACAAATTTTGAGGTGCATATTATATATGGGGGATTTAGGATAACCATTTTTGTTCTCGCTCTGCCATCCATTAACCCTAAGACATTAGCTAAGTGACTTACCGCTTTCCCCTCAATACGGCTGGAAAGTGTTTTTTTTAATTTTCCAAACCACTTTACTGGGTTTCCCCCTCCACTAAAAGACGTTTGTTTTAGTCTTTTTACTCTATTACAGTTACTACTATTGTACTAATTTAAATTACGAATCTGGGATACTAAAATCAAACGAGTACGAAGATTGAAATATCTGAAAAATGTACTAACGGGGCGGAAAACGCAACATTGAGAACCAAAGACGCATTATAATGACCTGAGTACTGAGATAAATCTTCGTTAGAAACGGTACTGAAATGTTACGTGATGTCAGTCCTATATGGCAGTGAATGCGGGACAATCTCAAAAGGTGAAAATTGAAGTAACAAATGTGATTCTACAAAAAGCTGCTGAGGAAACCATGGAGAAGAGGTTTTAGAGTAAAGGGAAACAAAAGGAAACTTATACTTAACATAAAGCGTCAGTTGAAAATTCTGGGGCACGTAATGAGGAAGGAGGGCTTGGAAAATCTGATACTCCCAGGGCAGATTGAGAGACGAAACTGCGCGTAGCATACTCGATTGTTAAATGGTAGGATAGAGGTTTTGGAGAAACGGCAAAGATTCAGCTTATGAGCTACCAAAGACAAAGATGTGGCGGGCCATAATCGCCTACGCCCTAAAGGTACTAGTCACATAAATGTAGTGACCTTACCATAAAGGTATCATCATTTGATAGTGAAATTGGCAGAATTTGAACAGATTCACCAATGTCTTTTTCGCCCGTTAACAGAACTCTACTACTGATAAAACAGTAAGGTTTTCTTGACTTGTCTTTTGTTTTTAATAGCCACCCTCCAAACATTAAAATGTGACCTAAAGTCACTGATAGTTATGCTGGGCTGGAAATCCGTACCTTCCCATTATCACTCGATGACAGTCTGTTCTTTCATATAACCCTCCCAACACTTGACTAAAACTGGATGTTAAACAGGACTAGGATCTCCTGTTAATTCACCCCAAAAAGAAAAATTAATATTTATTAAATAAATATTAAATAAATATTAAATCTCTGACCCAACATTGCACTCTAGTTGGGTTGTTCTGTGCGAACGCCCCAAATGTGGGCGACTTGGGTGTGGTGTCTCCGTCGCGCTCGTTGTATGTGCCTCAAATATCATTCGCACTTACGCAATAGTAATAAATGCGTGAATCTTATTTTTATTTTTGTATTTTTTTTTTCATTCGGGGTGGTGGGGAGTTCCGATTTCGATTTAAAACTTATTTCTTGGTGAATTAATATTTGTGAAAAGTAACTTTACATTATTTCGGGTGAATTAACAAAAACACCTCAGGACTAAATTCGTATTCTTGGCCCCAATCTGACACTTCTCTTATGATTATTTCTAATATTACCGCCATTAATTTTCAAATAAATAAAACTTCAGCTTGCAAAATCTCTCGAAAATGTCCATATGCCTATTTCCGGAAAATAACGACAGCCAAAAAGCAAAATTGTATTAGGCTAAGTACCGGATGACTTCTGTTTTTATCAAATTATGGTTTTAGAGAACAAATTTTATTCAGTTATATATTATAGTTATTTTGCAATGACTTGTCGATCATGAGGCAGCTCTCTGGTACCTTTTTGCTGTATAAGCTCTTGTATTGTCAAGAGGAATACATTTTTTTTTCTTTTAATGCAAGGTGCTAGCTGTCGGTGCCGTGCAAAAGATATGACTTATTACCTTCAAATTTATTAACTCTAACGTAAGATGTAATAAATTTGTCATTACAAATGGTTTAAAAACATGCAAATTGCAGAGATAATTGTCTTAATTACGCAAAAATTAAAATAAAACTAATATAATTTTAGCAAATATATTTACCAGAATTACACGAATATCTTGAAATAAGAATAAATTAAATAAAATCAGTATTGGCTTCAACTACGGCCTCCAGACGACTTCAGAATCTCCTGCATCTCTTCTGGACGGTCTCCTTGTTTAAGTTTGTGAATGCTGCCATATTCCTTGCATTCAGTTCATCAATGATGATGCCTTCATGGTAACCGCACTAAATTTATGGGACTAGTAGCTTCAGGGCGTAGGCGATGATGGCCCTCCACACTCTTCTGTCCTTTGTAGCTCTGAAGCTGAATCTTTGCTATTTCTTTCAAATCCCTTTTCTACCATTTACCAATCAAGAAGTTTTGATCTGTCGCTCATCTGCACCCACACATAATCAAGGGGATTTCAGTCTGTGGAATTCGCCTGCTTGTGTTCCATGGTGTAGTTCTGTTAGCAGACATAGGGTCTTCCAGCAGCCACTCTGTTGACCCAGGGCAGTACTACATCAAGGTACTTGATATAGACCTCCGTGTTGAGTCTAAAGTCTTCACCAACGTATTCGGGAGTTCTTTCCAAGAATCAGTGACTTTTCCGAGCTGCCATACCTTCGTAATCACCATTAGACTCGCCAAACTCTTTCCGGATCATCTGCACGAATGCCAAGCAGTACGGCATATCGTTTCCAAATTTCTGGTGGAGTAAATAGGGTCATAGTGACTTTTTTGACAAACGTTGCTCAACTGACCCTACTATACTGTGCAGACGAAAAAATCAAAAACCCACGCACATGCACGAAATTGAAAATATAACATGGCGACAATTTAATCCTCGCACCATTTACTTGATATTGAAAGTCAATGTGCCTACAGTAGGATAAGAGATTAAAACATCTTTTTTATGAGAATCGGAAACGAGACTATTTAAAACTTAACGTGAAAGCACCGCCTGAATATTTTCTCGAGCCAAGTATGTACAGTTTTATATTTTCAATGAATAAAGCTACATTTGTATTTTTTGTTTTTTCTTTTAGATTGTGGCCAAATATGACCCCAATCAGGCTTCAGAATGTCTCACCTGGGTGCAGACGATCTTGGCGAATAACGACCCACCTATCAACTTCGATACAAATGGTGACCGCCAAAACTTTAATGCTGTCCTTGAAGATGGATACGTCCTTGCTAAGTAAGTAACGATAAGTATCTTAATACTGTGAATTAAAATTAGCATTAGTTAAAAGGTGTAATGTAATTTTTTTCTCCTTTTGCAAATTGCTACAGATACATTTTGATTTGTTGGGTGGGGGGGAAACATTATCGTATTTACTGACCAGAGACGTGGTCTCTTGTAAAACTAGATTTTTTTAAATATCTCTGGGAGTTAACTGTTTCTCGAAAGGTTTCGAGGTCAGTAGATAAGATTAGAAACCATTTAGATGTCAAGGCAGAAATCATTCAAACTTTAAGTGAAATCCTGCTGCAAAATTTAATCGTGATTTTTATCTTTTAAAATCCAAACCGGAGAATTTAGAGTAAAATTCTGCCCAAATTGTGAAAGCTTTGATTCATTGGCCGAAACATTTTTTGACTTTTTTGTCAGTACAACCATAAACTGCTCAAGACAAACCGATTTCTTTTTCTTGAAAATTACTCAATGTGTCTATTTTTCTCCCAGTGGTGAGATATTAGACGAGTAGCATCTACACTGCTGTAGAAACATGCACACGTTTTGAGATTAGTTTTCGTTTCCACTTTGACAAAAAAATTCAGATCATGAAATTATTTTGCTTTCACTTTTTAAAGCGCAAAGCACTCTAACATTTTAGACCTATTAAACCGTTACTGTCTAGAGTGACTTATTGATAGCTAAATAAAGGTATTACCTGAAAGACAAATATTGAAATTGCATTTTTTTTTTTTTTTTTTTTTTTTTTTTTTTAAATCGCATCGGATCAAAACGTTCTCGAAGATAAACGATTTAGCAATCGACCGCAGGCCGTAATCATGTAATGTGATTATTTGATTTGGCAAATGTCGAGATTTATTTCCAAAATTGTCCTATGTCGTCAGTGCTGCGTCTCCCACCTTTACATTTTTAAAATAAAAGTAATTTTTTTTTTTTTTTTTTTATAAAGTATATTTATTTAATGGTATTTATCAACAAAAGAAAACCATAACATAATGACTTTTCTTTTCAGCTTAATCAATGCTCTCGAGCCGGATAGTATTCCTTCGGGGAAATTAAAGACGCGACCAAAAATGCAATTCAAAAAGATGGAACTGATTGACCTTTTTCTGGTAAAAATGAAATCTTATGGAGTACCTGATCACGAACGGTTTGCAACCATTGACCTCACTGAATCCCAAGATCTCAACCAAGTTGTAATCTGTTTGCAAGCTTTAGCAAGAAAGGTAATTTTCTTTTTCCCATTAATTGTTTGGCTATATATAATTTATAATATATATATATATATATATATAATTATAAATATATAAATATATTTATATATATATATATATATATATATATATATATATATATATATAAAAATTTAAAGTTTATTTTCTTTTTGTTCCGAAAAGCATTAAAAAGCTGGAGAGCGATGTTGTGAAAAATATTAAATGCATTCATACTTGAATTCAATAAGTTGAATACGTTGCTCTGCATTATCTTCTATGTATTTATAATATAAAGCTTATGTTCCATGTCCTTTAAGGACGTAGGCGATCATGGCTCTCCACCTCCCTCTATCCCTTGCAGCTCTCAATACGTTCTTTCCCTCTACCATATTGTCATCCACTTAAGCCCGCCAGGTATGTCACTCGTTGTTTTCCCTTGTCTCTATTTCTCTATTCGACCCGTGAGTATCAGATTCTCCAGGCCCTTCGTTCTCATGTGTCCCAGAAACTTCAGCTGCCTCTTTCTGTCAAGCATAAGCCTACTCTTTGTTTGCAATCTCTCATCGTTCAAGACTGTTTGCATCTTGAACAGGGTTGACCTACAGCAAATTAATGGCTCAAATCTCTATCCAATAAGGTTTTTCAATTATATCATTTAAACAATTTGATTGGCGTCTCTAGTGTTGTACAGTAAGTTTTACTCTGTTCAAGTAATTTTAATATATTTTAAAACATTTTGAATGATTTGGGCGTGAATGTCTGATTTGTTTGCGTTATCTTCTAACATCACTTTTATTAAGTTTAACTTTTCTGTCTCTTGACACTTGATTAATGTTCACAATCTAACAATATTGTATTTATTTCATTTAGGCTCGTACAAAGGGACACGTTGGATTTGGACCAAAAGAATCTGAGGCAAATATCCGAAACTTCACGGAAGACCAGCTGAAGGCAGGACAGAATGTGATTAGTCTCCAGTACGGATCTAATGCCGGAGCATCCCAAGCCGGAATGAATTTCGGAAAAACTCGAATGATCCTTGATTAGATGTTTCTGTTAATATCGTCATTAAAAAAAAAAAAAAAACAAAAAACAAACTTTTCTACTAATGCCGTAAGACAAATCCGCCACCTTTGTGATAATCTTCAACCGGAGTTTAGCTCTTGGGTTTTGTAAACGCCCGTAAATACACTACTGATCTGCTGAATGTATCTCAACTGCGAAATGCTTCATACTTAAAGACTTTAAGAGCTGGAGGTATTCGATGACCAACTTGTGGGTCAGTGGCCTGTCCATACCCCCCGCCCACTCCGAACAAAAGAGACGGATTTAACTGACACTGCAATGTTACGAAAATATAAACGGTTTAATCTTATGTTGCCATTTTGGCTTGTGTTCATTTCATAAACTCACGGTCACTTTTCTATCAACATCTAATTATTTCTACTAGTCAACAATATGCAAAGACTAAAGTCAGTTGATCAGATATGTTACAGGGACACATTCCTATTAAAATTTACAATTGGAATAAAACTTGAATCCAATGCTTTCCTTATTTATTTTTATTTATTTAAACACACCTTTGTTAAACTTCACTCAGCACAAGGCTTGAGAGCAACTCAAGGTAGATTGCTACTCTTAAAATATTTGAATGAGATGCGTGACATGAATGAGAAGTGGTACAAAGGGAAAATTATAACGATTGACGTTTTTGACGTGGAGAGGTTAAGATTTGTAGTGTTCGGGAAAGCATCCATTCGGGAGTCTGTTCTATAAAGTTATGCTTTGAGTGATGTGACTCTGAAATTAGATTGGCACCTCTTAGCAATAACGATCATGTATCACGGATCAAATATTAATCCCAAACATAAGTGCTGCGTAATTAGTTACATTTAGATTAATCACGTTACTTAGAACGATTACTTCGCTACTTTTTCATAATTTATTCAAAACGGAAAATTGATTAGTGCGTTTCTTAAAGGAGTGGGTCAAAAGCATTAAAAGTAATGTCAAATTTGAAATGTTACGAATTCATTATTCATGAAGTCAAATGAATTTAATTTAGAATTTATTATAAACATCTTACATCATTTATGAGAATTTAGTCTATTTGAGCGGCCGTTGCCTCGCTTCTTTTAGCCAATAAGGGATTTATTTTTCTTAAAATGCAATGGTTTTGGCGTGCCTCGTGCACGCCGCTGGATGTTTCTGTTGAAGATAAGATTTTTTTTTTCTTTTTTTTTTCCTCGGTTGAAAAATTGAAACTGCCATTTGTCTTCAATGGAACGAATTTTTTTTTTTTTTTTTTTTTTTCAATTGATAAATTTACAAATGTCCCTGTCTTAATCGGCAATAGAAGTGTCGGGTGGCTATAAAAGGTACTGATCATTTACGACTTATTTGCCTAAATAAGGCATAGAATGTCGTCTTCGTTATGAGGCAATGATTTGTAAGTAAAACGATGCGCTAAACTCAGTAACAAACTTTCGACTTCCGAATATCAAATCAATTTAAACACTCACTCGTATTTACTAAAGTCTAACCTGGGATCCATGAAGTCGTAAACATTCTGAAATAACTTTTTGGTTAACTAACAACTCCAATCAACGCAAGATTTATGAGGACCCTTATTTGGGCCCTGAAGGAGGTAGGCCAGGCATGCCTACACAGGTATGGAAGGAAGATGCCAACCACCTGGCCCTGTGCTTAAGGACAATGGTAAATCCGGCACAGACAAGAATGCATTTTAAGCATTCTAGTGCCCATTGTCCCAGTAGTGGAACATATCTTAAGACTCGTTTTTATACTGGACGGGTTTTTATTTTTTCTTATCTGTAATATATATATATATATATATATAATACAGGGTGTCCACAAAGTTCGTGTGCACTTCAAAAAAATTTAAAGTTCACATGAACTTTATGGACACCCTGTATAATATAATACAAACTATTAATATTTCTATTTCTTCTGATTTCGTCAAATCTTTCAGCCAGGTCCGGCCATTAAAAGTGAATAACTGTAACAGGCTCTGCTCTTCATTCCTCCGCATATCACATGTATGCGCAATATCTTCATCTCGTATTCCCATAATTTTTTAGACTGACAAGATGCATTTATCATAGCCTGCATGACTTATTACACTTTATTGATCCTTAGGCTGGGACTCAAACTGGATCTCATTAAATTACATGGCAACAAGAGAATGTGCCTTTTCTGAGTGCAGATGAAAGCGACATATGACTAATATCGATCTGTTTTCTATCTCGAACCTACAAGTGGGATGGAGATCAGATAACGGTATCACAATACTGAAAATAATCTACGATTGCCACTTCTAGTTTGAACGAGTTGATTTATGAAAATTGCATATTCCTAGCAACCAATAACAATATAATTAAATAGTATCAATGGCAGTTATTACATACTAGCCTAGAAGCCCTATTTTGGGTTGAATTTAGACTAGCCCTAACAGAAGGCTTTCGGCTTTTTACCTTCAGCATCCTATGTACGTAAAAAAAAAAAAATTGGAAACTTTTTACGCCTTAATTCGTTATAATTTTTCTTCGTATATGCAGTCGATCATTTATATTGTACGCATTTTTTATTTCCTCTTAAAATTGCCTTCATGATCCTTTGACATAAAGCCCCACTTAAATGTCATTAGGGAACACTAACAATGTAATATTTCGAATACGTCACCATACGCACCCTAGAAAAACATGACCAACGTACTGGGCTCCGTTCAACTTTTAATTAAGTAGACTGTATCAAAGTTGAACCTTTTGATAAAAACTTAGTGTTTTTTTTTTTTTTTTTTTTAAACTCTGTTCGATATTTAAATTTAACCTTAAATGAGTTAATCATTTAACTTTGAATCGCCTGTAACTACAGTAGTTAATGCAGGTTATTTATGATTCACTGAGATGGAAAAATGGATAGGCACACATACGCTGCGCTTTGTTCTAGAAAAGATTAATTTATTAATTAATGGTAATCCTGTATCGATTAAAAAAGAAATAAATTAGTCTGATCAAAATAGCAATGGTGAAGTCTATAATTCTACAATATTTAACTATGTTCGCCTTATCCAAGGCCCGGAGGCACTAGAGATAGACGGTTACAAAGTAAGACACACAGCTTATGCAGATATTTGTGGAAAGTAACCGTTAACTGTAGATTTTGAAGAGGTTAAGATTGTAGTGATCGGGGAAGCATCCTCTTACACTGTAGCCCCAGGACCTTGTAAAGAGTGAACGCCACTATTAAAATAAAATGGCCCTAATAGGCGTCCAAGGCAAGGAGCATCACTGAAGCAACATCGATCATCGCGATGGGTGAAGGTTCTGGGTCCGATCGGTGATGATGGAATGTCGCTAGTTTCCTTTTCGAGGCATTGAATGTGACCAGTCAGTTTTGCTCCCACTGGGCTGTTAGAACTAGATCAGAGGAGAGATCAGCTGGTAAAGCTGTAGTCATCTAACCATCGACTGAGAAAGAAAAGCAACACTTCCAATACTGTTTAATCTTTTGTATCCTCATATCTATTACACTGTCCAGTTAAGACATCACCTAACGAATAAGGGAAGAAAATTACTCATCAGGTCATCTGGGACATGCGATGTCGCTTCCACGGAGTTGGCTCGCCATTATCTCTTCCGTATTCCAAATATAAGGAAAAAAAACACAGCATATATTTTTTTTTTTTTTTTTTTTTTCGCGAGAACAATCACTTTGTGTAAAGCTACTCGAGCATTTTATTGAGTAAATTATATATAAAAAAAAAAGATGGGGTGGCAACTTTAGAGCCAATCCATTTTTCTCGCTCTGAGAATCTGAACTATGATGCGAGAAAATGTTCTTTCTCTACAGAACAATTATAGTGATTTTCCAAACGTAGCTTAGATGGGGCACAAAGCCGAAAGTAAGGGGCACACAGTGAGGAACTTACTACGCAGTCTTATTTGTTCTAGCAAGACAAACTGGCTAACCATTACACCACCTCGAGGTGTCCCTATGGAACAATTATATACGGCTACAGAATTTACCTGTGTGTATATGTGTATATATATATATATATATATATATATATATATATATATATATATATATATTATTTAAAAAGTATTCGCTACTTTTTCTCAGGTAGTTTCGTCTTCAATGTTGGGATTTATTGTATTTACCAGGTTGTATCTGACATAAGGTCAAGGTTAAAAGTGGGTTTAACGGCCATAAGGTGCAAAAATTCCCAAGCCCATTCAGCGGTTCCCCTTTTGGGAACAATTTGGGAACAACTCAGGCACTGGTCAATAAACCCAGACTCTTCACGATGGAGAGGTACTGCCTGAGGGGAAATGGCCCTGGCTTTTGTGCTAATATTCAAAGAACACAAACCCCAGCCAAAGAGTTAGGATGCAACAGGCCTGTCTCCTTGATTTAGGTTCGAAGCTTTATTTAGCAAGCATCAGTTTTTTGATTTCAAAATTTATTTATTTTTATATTTAAATAAATTTTTATATTGGCAAAAGTAAACGAATATAGTTTTATTTAGTGCGTGAATTTTTAGCGAATAGTTTGGGATTCAAAAGCTATAGGATGCTAACATTCCAACGATTCTCCTCTAAGTTTTTATATTACGTGGAGGAGGGAGTTCTCGCAGAGGCCTCACTCTTTCAGGGTCTGGTCTAATGGTCCGTTTACTTACTTCATAGCCAAGACATTTTATTTTCGTTACTCTGTAGACACATTTATTCTTATTTAAGTTGAGACCGTACGTCTTTTAAATCTTGTCAAGTTAGTACCGTTTTCTCTTTCCATTCATTATATTACCTATCATGGCCAAGATAACTAAAGGTCAGGTCATCTATATACGCGAATGAGCCCTTTAGGCATTCCTTTTCGATTATTTCATCCAAAATTCTTTGAAACCCAGCCACTCCATATGTGATCCCAAAAGGCATCCTTTTAAAATTATACAATTTATCACCGGCTTCAAAAGCCGTGTATGGGCGGTCTGCTTTACGTAGGGAAACATGCTTTTAAAGACT